CCGGATCCGGCTCCAGCTGCGGCTGTGTGGCTCTCGGGCCCGGCCTGGCACCTGGGCAGGTGACCCCCAGCCTGCCCCCGACCCCGACTGGCTGCTTCTGGAAGGAGAGCCCACCCCCGCCCCCACCCCGGGCGCCGGTGCTCCCTCTCCCGGCCACCGAGCCAGGGGGCTCCGGTTTCAGCTGTCCTGCCTGCCCTTTGCCCAAGGCGATCGGAGGCCAGGAGACTTTTTTTTTTCTTAACTGAGGCCGTGTCTCCCTCTCCCTCCCCACCCCCCTTTTACTATTTTCCTAGAGAGTTTGCCCTTGCCCTGTGGGGTTCTGCTTTTCTTTCTAGCCTATTCTCTTGGTTAGCTTTTTACTTATTTATTTTGGCCAGGTCTGGGTTTGAACTCAAGTCCTGGACGCCGTCCCTGAGCTTCTTCAGCTCGAGGCCAGTGCTTTACCACTTGAGTCCCAGCTCCACTTCCAGCTTTTTGGTGGAGATCAGAGTCTCACTGACTTTCTTGCCTGGTCTGGCTTCCAACCGTGATCCTCAGATCCCAGCTTCCTGACTAGGTAGGATGACAGGTGTGAGCCACCAGCACCCAGTCTGGTGTCCTTTTTGAAGTAGGGGTTGGCTGTGTATCTCAGGCTGGCTTTGAACTGTCTGTCCTCTTGCCTCAGCTTCCCCAGAGCTGAGACTACAGGCGTGATCTATCTTGTCCATTCTGGAAGCTCTCTTCCCTCTCCCTGCAAAATACACAGGGAAGGACAGATTTATTCTTTTTTAAGTGGCCTAGGGCTTCACACTTAAGAACACACAGGTGGGGCAAGGAAACAGGGCTAGGTGTTCTGGAGAAAAAGTCCCACCAGTTGTCAGACTAGTTCTGCTTCTTCAGTGAAATCCATGGTTTGAAACAGTTCCCCCAGTGGTCATTGCCAGAGCCTCAGTCTCTGTCATGGTTGTTTTGGGATTAAGTGAGCTAATACGTGTCAATGCTTAGAACAGGCCTGGAGCCCCATTTATGCTCAGTAAAGCTTCATATCTTCATTTTAATAAACTTACGTATTGTCAGCTGTGGGGCTAGAACTCAGGGCCTAGGTGCTGTCCCTGAGCTCTTTTAAGGATAGCACTCTACCACTTTGAGCCACAACCCCACTTCCAGTTTTCTGGTGGTTTTATTGGAGATAAGAGTCTCATGGACTTTCCTGCCTGGGCTGGCTTTGAACATGATCCTCAGATCTCAGTCTCCTGAATAGCTAGGATTACAGGCATGTGCCACAGCTGCCTAGCCTATGATTTTTTTTTAAGGTGCTATAGCTCATGCTTTTATTAATGAGATCAGACAAAGAAGCACTCAAAGTTGAGATTTCTCAAGAATGCTTTTAATTTCAAAAAAATAAGTTGAGATCTCTTCCCATATTAGGGAAGGAAAAACCAGGGTTAGTGCCCCAGGAAATACAGTCTAGTACAGGGCCTGGGCCAAGCATGTCAATCACCAGGTCCTGTCACTCATCAGTAGGGGCCTATTCCACTCCACCACCAGCCCCAGACAAGAGGATGGACGTGAACTTGCCCAGGGAGCGATTCTGTCTCTCCAAGATGGTCAGGCCCCATCCTCTGTTCCAGGGAAGCCAGCCGTGTGTCTCTAGGAAGGGCTGGTCATACCACCAGACTCAGCTCAGCTAACTATCCCAGCCCTGGGGGTCAGCGCTCAAGCCCCTGTGTGCCCACCAGCACATCCATGAGGTAGTCCAGCTCCGCCTCATCCAACACAGGAGCTTCCTCCTTCCCCAGCCCGTTCTCAGAGTCCGGTTTATGGCCCTCGGCAGCTGCAGGTGCCCAGAGTTCGCTGTCATACATAGAAGTATCAATATCCTCAAACAGACCCTCCAGTCCATCGTCCAGCAGACAGCCTGTGGCTGGGCCTAGCAAGTCCAAGGCACCCAAGCCTGCTGGAGCTCCCCCAATGGGGCGGCCTGGTGGCCCCTCGTCTGGAAGGGGTTGTGGGGCCTGACTCAGGCCCTCAATATGGCTAAGGTCCTCCAAGAGGCCAGCCATGGAGGCTGAGAGGGCGGCATCTGAGCTGGCCAGCAAGTTATCAGTCTCCATGGGGGCCGGGGGTGGGCTGGACACGGAGGGGAGGGCTGCCGAGGGGGCCATGGAAGCCTGGATCCGGCGCAGTGTGTTCACCACCAGCACCAAGTGTCTCAGGTCAGGTTCGCTCTGCCGCAGGCTGTGATGGAGCTTGAGCACGGAGAGGTCAAAGAGGGAGTTGGAGGCTACAACTGGAGGGGCTTGTGCTGTTGGGGGGCCTGAGTCCAGCCACCAGGTATCCACGGTCAGGGTTTCCTTCTCCACCACCTCCTCCTCCTCTTCCTCCTCCCGCTTGCGCTTTAGACCCTTGCTGAGCATCATCTGCAGGGAGGGAGAGCAAATATTAAGTTCACACACTGGCTGTAACACACTGGATAAGTGACTTAACCTCTCTGAACCTTGGTTTGTTTTCTTCCTTTTTTCTTTTTCTTCACCCCCTCCCCCTTCTTTGGTGCTATCCTGGGACTTGAACTCAGAAACCTCAGACTGTAGCGCAGCTTTTTTTCTCTCATAGGTGATGCTCTATTACTTGAGCCGGGCCTCCAGTTCTGAAATAAAAAGGACTTGAGGGGAGGATGAGTTTAATGGGATACAATGAGACCCCTGGTACAACTAATAAATGCTAATTTAATGAAAGCACTAGCAACACTGCCTGTTACTTGGTAATTGCTCTTATTACTAAATAACTTCATAATATCTCTTCACCAAATGATGTGGAATACTGAGCCTTCTTTTCATTTACAAAAGCACCTGTTTGACATAGCATATCTGTTACGCATTGAACACTAAATTTGAAAATGCAGATAGTCCTAAGAAGACACCAAAAGATTCCAGAGATAATCTGGGAAGACTTCCTGAAGGAGGTGACATTGGAACTGAGCCCTGATAATAGGAGGTAGGAGCCATGGAAGACCCAGGGGAAAAAACATTCTGGGAAGAGGTGACAAGGCAAAGAAACATCCAGAAGCTTGGTAAACCAGAGCTGCAAAAAAAAAAAAAAAGGAAAAGTCCAGTGTGTGGCCTGCCCACTCTGAGGGACCCCCGCAGGGGTCCGGGTGGGGGTGGGGCACAGGGAGAAGACCGCAGCTGGGCGGAGCAGGGAGCTGGGCTTCTGAGTGGCGGGAGTCACAGGCCGGAGGGTGTCAAACAGGGTGTGATCTAAGTTTCCAGAAGATTCCCCTTGGCTATGGCAAGGGGGAGGGGGTGTCGCAGGGCGGTTGTGGAGTCTGAAACCCAACCCATTGAGGGGGTCTCCCTAGGTAGGACAGGAGATGCTGGTGATGGGCATGGAAAGGGGTTGAGGACTTCTACGGGAGAAAGAGTTGGACGGGGCTTGCGGAATGGGGGGTGGCGCAATCGAGATGGGCACCGTTGGGGGGGCAGTGAGAGACAGACAGGGGGTCGGTGACTGACAGACGTTTCAAGACGCAGGGTGCGAGGGCCTGAAGGTGTTTGGACCACTGACCCCAAACTACATGGGGGGGGCTACCAGGAAGATCACAGGGTCCGGCCCCCCGAGACGCTTCCTAGGCGAGATCTCACGACTCAAAACCGGAGTCCTCTTGGCCCCCTCGGCCACAGGCAGCCCGGGAGTCCGGGAACCGCAGGAATTCAGCCCCCACCCTGGCTCCGCCCCCGGGCCCGCAGCGCCCCCTAGCGGCGTCCGGGACGCTCCCCCACCCCCAGCCCAGGGGATTCCGGCCCTTCTGACCCCGGGATCCCCAACACTGCCTTGAGTCTCGCCCCGCGACTTCTGCCTGCCGGGCAAGACGTCGGGACCCCCCGACGGGCGGTTCTGTACGCCCCGGGCTTCCGGAAGGCCGTGGAGGCGGCGGCGGCGGCGGGGGCGGGTGAGTCACGCAGCCGGAGCCAGGGAGCCCGGCGCCTCCGCCCCCTTCTCGGGCTGCGGCGTGATTCACCCAGCCCGGCCCCGGGCGGGTGGCACGTCAAGGCCCGGACGTCTCGATCCTAGGTAAACCTTCATCTAACCTAAGCCTTGGGGATCGAACACGCCAAGAAAGCGGGGCCCGCCGGTAACCCCTTCTCGCCCCAGGCCCCTTCATTTACATACCCAGTTCACTCGCTGCCAATCAGAACGAAGACGTAGCCACCTGCAGCCAATCAGGAAGTGGCGGTGGCAGCATCGCTCGCTCACTTTCCACCAGCAACCGGCGCCCGGCTCGGGAGACGCAGTTCTGACTCTGGCGCACGACTTCAGACTCTCGACTACCCTTAAGGGCCGCCCACTCGCGTGGCGACCACGCCCTCCTTCCCAATGATTGGTCCTTGGCGGGGATGGGCGGAGCCTGGATGCGGTCGATTAAAAAGGCGAGGTCGGCTTTAAAGGCGCATGTCCAGATGGCTGCTGGAGGCTAGGAGCAAAGGCTAGTAGTGATTTGCCCGAAAGGAGGCGGGAAGGGAGGGGAACTGAGGCAGGTTGGAGAGGCTTTATGGCTTTTGAAACTACAGATTCGTGTTCCTGCCCAAACCCAGTTGGTTAGGTACCCAGGTCCTCAAAGGGGTTACACGCTAGGGCTCAAATCCTATCTCTATAACTCACTAACCTGTGGAGAAAGGCCTGAACTCTGCGCCAAAAATCTGTTAAATGGGAATCTTCTTGCTTACCTCTTGAGAGTTAAGGTCAGATCGAGTCTGTAAGAGCATTCTACCAGATTCAGCGGCTGATGGACAGTTGGATTCAGTTGTGGTTGAAGACCCAGGGTGAGGTGGGAAGGGAATGTCACCTATGGGTGCCATTAGATAGGCATAGATGGCTTATTCTTGTAATCCTAGTTACACAGGAGACTGACATCTGAAGATGGAGGTTTGAAGCCAGCCAGGGCAGAAAAGTCTGTAAGACTCTTATCTCCAAATAAACAGCTAAAAGCTAGAAGTAGAGCTTTGCTCAAGTGGTAGAGCACCAGCCTTGAGCAAAAAGGCTTAGGGACAGAGCTCAGGCCCTGAATTCAAGCAGCAATACCAGCACAAAATGAAAAAAAAAAAAAACAGAAAAACAATGGGGGAGAGGGGTGGTAATTGGGGGAGAGCTCTTGAAAAATACTATGTAGTTTCTTTATTGCAAGCAAAGTAGCAGGTGAACCTTTTAGTTAGTTCTTGAGTTTGGGTAGAAGGAAAGCAACTGTAAATGACTTTTACCCAGGCATAGCAGTGTCTACTGGTAGTTCTAAGCTGGGAAGGATCTCCTGGGTTCAAAGGCAACAAAAGATATTTGAATATGAACTGGATAGTAGGGGCTGTATTAGGAAGATCTTCCATCTCCACTACAAATATCTTAAGAAAAGTAACTTCATGGGAAGAATTATTTTACTCAACAGTTTCAGAGTTTTCAGTCCATCCTGAAGGAGGGGTCGTGAAGAAATACAGCAGCTCACCTCCTGGCAGCCAGGAAGCAGAAAGAGGGAGGGGGAAGAGGGAGAAAAAAAAGAGAGAAACAGTACTAGCTTTTTACTCTAGGAAGCGTCCTCCTTTGTAAACCCTTTTCCTTCAGTCAACCAAGTTCTGTGGGATGGTGGCACCAGCATTCAGGGCCAGCCTTCCCCCAGAGTTAATCATCTCTGGAAATACTTTCACAGACACACCCAAAGGTGAGCTTCAACTAATTTCCTAGGCACTTTCTAGTGCAATCAAATTGGCACTTTAACCATTGCAGGTGATATTGTGGAATTCTCCACTCTCTTAATATGGGAAATAGTATTTCACTTGTGGTTTGTAAGTGAATATTCTTTATTTCTTTTCTTTCACTTTTGGGGGTATTGGAAGAGAAGCCAGTGACCTGAGGGTTTTAGGCAACCACTCTGACACTCAGCTTTACCTCAGTCATCACCCCTAGAAATATCATTGACCATTTTTTCTTCTTTCTTCCTTCCTTCCTTCCTTTCTTTTTTTGGCATTGGTTGTCTCACTGTACAGCCCAGATTGGTTTAGAACCCAAGGTCCTCCTCCTGTAGCCTCTCAGTGCTGGAATTACAGGTATGCATCCCCATGCTCCACTTAACTTTTTTCTTTCTTTCTTTTTTTCTTTTTGCCAGTCCTGGGGCTTGGACTCAATGCCTGGGTCCTGTTTCTGAGCTTCTTTTGCTCAAAGCTGGCCTCCACCACTTGAGCCACAGCTCCACTTCTGGCTTTTGGTGGTTCATTGAAGATGAGTCTTATGGTCCTCCTTACCCGCGCTGGCTTTGAACCATGATCCTCAGATCTCAGCCTACGGAGTAGTTAGGATTATTGGCATGAGCTACCAACATCTGGTGGGCTGATGGCTTTTTTTTGGGGGGGGGGCTTGAACTCTGAGCCTGGACGCTGTCCCTCAGCTCTTCAACTCAAGGCGAGTGCTCTACCTCTTGAGCCACAGCGCCACTTCTGGTTTTCTAGTGGTTTATTGGAGATCAGAGTCTCACGGACTTTTCTGCCCAGGCTGGCTTTGAACTGTGATCCTAAAGTCTCAGCCTCCTGAGTAGCTAGGATTACTACAGGTGTGAGCCACCGGCGCCCAGCCTGATGGCTTTTTTTTTTTGGGGGGGGGATCAGGTCGTGAGGCCTGAACTCTGGGCCTGGGCGCTGTCCCTTAGCTCTTCAGCTCAAGGCTGAAGAGCCACAGGGCCACTTCTGGCTTTTTTCTTTTTGCTTATGTGGTGCTGAGGAATGGAACCCAGGGCCTCAGGCATGCAAGGCAAGCACTCTACCACTGAGCCACCTT